AAAAAAAAAAAAAAAAAAAAAAAACCCCAAAAAGAAATGGGAAGGAAGAACAGTGTAAATAAGAATATTTAGCTAAGAACATGGGGTTACTCCTTTCTGCTAATAATCTGCCATGCAGTCTTAATTATTTCCTGCCTTGTATGATATTTCAAAGTCTTTGGAATTTGCACCTATTGAGTGGACTATGTTCCGTAGCCACTAAAATGTATGGAAAACCAGAGACCATCTATCAAAACATGGGAAAGTTAAATGTATCATAAACTTACAATGTAGTAGAAAAAAGACACTATGTTGTACAAGTAATTACAATAGTAATTACAGGATGATTAGTAAAATTTTTTACCGTTTAGTGAAAAAAAGTCTTAAAAATCCTAGAAATTTGAAATGTCAAATAATTCCTTATTATTTTACACAATGATCTCACTTATTCCTCAATACTATATAGGGAAAACACTCAGGAATTTGTTGTTTGAACCAGGATCCAGAGAGAAAACCCAAACTCACTTCTAATTGCAAGTATAGTTTGAACCAACCTACCCTACTTCTTGTTTTCTACTTTAGCATGTAGCTTATTAGATAATCTTGGACAAATCTTTCTCCGAAGCCATGGAAAATGATCAGAGGCTCTCACTCTAAGAAAATGGTTTCCCAACCAGGGAATCACTTAGGAAGCTACAACAACTGATGTCTATGTGCTACCTCCAGAGATTGTGGTTTAAGTTTTAAAATGACTAAAGATCCCCAATCATCAAACAGTAACACCTTCATATTCAGTGGTACTTCAGTTCATAAACTTCATTCTTTCCACAATTCTAGTCATAAAGGGAACTTGTGAACTGAACCAAATTTTCCCATTAGGTCAACGCTGAATCTATCCACTGAATTGGTTTTGGTTCTTGACTAATTCAGTCTGAGCAGAATCATGGAAATAATTAATTTCATGAACTGAGGTTACCAATGTATTAAGTAGTGTCCCCAGATCCTAAAGAAAAATATTTTGCAGTAGAAGCATGTATGTCTTCAGTAAGAAATGAATTTTAAAATTGAGTAAGATGATAAAATCATTAAATACCAAAGTTTTAAAAAACATATTTTTAGTTTTATTTCAGTCATATCAGGTTATCCATGAGACGTGAAAAGCTATGCTATCTTATAAGTTCATCAGTTCTACTTACTACTTTATATGTTTGACCTATAGTTTTACTACCTCACACCTGTTGTTTTGTGCCTTAAAGAGAAAAAAAAACAAAAAAACCAAACTAATCACAGAAAAATTGTATCTGTCACATATAATACATCATGGTCATCATCACATTGTCATGAAGAAATATTTGTTTTTTATGGGAAATTAAAGATAATGTTATATTCTTCACTGTCCTCTCCATTTCCTTTAAAAAGTAAAGGCTATTACAAGAAAGCAAGCATTCAAAACATCAAAAAATAAGACAAATTATTTTTTAAAAACCCAGACACGAAGAAAATATAAACGACCTTTAGGCCTGCAGAGCACAGAACTGCTGGAATACAGCCAGGATATGAGGATCTAATTCGGCCGTGAAGAGAAGGTTCTCTAGGGTCACCATGTACTGCTGGATTATCTGGTGATGCTGCAGACACGGAAAAGGGTGTGTAGGTCAGTAAAAGGAGAGTGAACGATCAAGCACATCGTTTCCCTCAGCAGCCCACCCACACTATGAGTAGGTCAAAATGGACACGAGAGGGAAATGGAGAAAAAAGGGATGTTCAATATAACATTCAATCACTTTTAAAGAATCTAGTTCTTAGCCAGACATGATGGTGCACATCCATAATCCCAGCACTATGGGAGGCTGATGCTGTGGCAGGAGGATCACAAGTTCAAGCCTAGCCTGGGCAACTGAGACCCTACTTAAAATAGGAAAGAAATGGGAAGGGGCTGGGGGGCAAGTGGCAGGCAGTTCTTATCAGCTTCTAGGTAAATGCAACTCATGATGCGAGGCAGAACAGTAGCATGTACTTATGGTAATTACTATTATTATAGACTATATTCAGCTGGGTCTCCTCCCAAACTAGGACATAACACATTAGACCTTTTTAAAAAGTGGCCCAGACAGGGTCTAAACTAGGAAGGTAAAATGGGTCAGAAAATAAAAGAAGCTTTTATTTGTTCCTAAGTCAACGTGAATATACGTGGAGATTCCTAGAGAACAAAAGACTGTTAAAGCGTATTAATGGCAGTAACTAAAAAAATCTAAAGAAAGAACTCCTATTTGAAAGCTTAAAGCATTGAACTTTAGAGCCAGCTCCATTCTTCTATATCTTTAAGTTTAGCTGAGAGCAGATGGTGGCATTTTTCTTTTGCAGAGAATCTCAGGAAGCACCTGTGGGCAATGTTTATTACCGGAATGTAAGATTTTTAAGTACTTTTATATCCATTTATTATTCCCTTCTTTCTCTACATTTCAGATTATAGCTAGGTCCCCTAGCACAAAAAATGGCAATTAGCATTCTGATATAAAATCAATATAAGCCTCAATATTTTGATAAGCAACACTAGCAGAAAATGGACATGAACAAAAGGGCCTGTAGGTACTATATGATATAGCAAATTTGAAAGTCTTTGTGGCTGAGAATAGTGGACTTTATCATTTAATCCAAATTTCTCACAAACCTGCAGGAAGATCTGCTGGAGCCTCTCTATACAATTCTTATACCATGGTGTTAATACACTGGTCCCATCAGTTTCACATCTTACCAAGTGCTCTGTTAAGATCATGATAAAACGCTGGAAAAGAGGAACCAAGTTGAATAATTGTTAGAGGAAGAATCTTATATTTCGGAAACAAACTCAATGAACTCAAAGTACTGCTTATTCCATTTTGCCTTTGTAGTTTCTGCCAGAAAGATTCATTGATTGCTGTTAATCTAAAAAGGTAGACCGGTAATAAATGGGAGTTTGTACATTTGTGGGAGCAGTTAAAAAACAATTTTAATGCCTAAATTGGTTATCCTAGTAATACTATTTCTTGGTTTCTATTCTAAGGAAATAAACAGAAATGCTAACAGGAATCTATGCATAAAAATATTCATCAGGAAAAAACTCTTAAGTCATCAACAATAGGGAATAAATATAAGACAGGTATTTAAATGCTAATAGCACAGAACTCAAGAGGTACACATGGTGGCCTCCAAATGGTGACATTTTATTTTCTTTGTATACTTAAGCTTCTCTAAGTAATGATGCATTTATGATTAAAAGTAACATTATTTTAACCAAAGAAATGCAGTAATTCCCAAGCCAAGTTACCTGAAATATAACGAGAAAAAGGTTCTTCTGCTCACTTTGGGCAGATTCCACTTTTTCCTGCAATCGTTCTATTTGCTCTTCCAGGGCCCCATCTTTCCTGTCACTGCTTCTGTCATCATCATCACTTCGCTAAGGAGGCACAGGAACAAAAGAGAAAATATTTAGAAATCCAGTGTACTAAGTCTTACCAAGAAAGGAAAACAATTTTATTGCCTGGTCACATACTATCTAAAGATTATATTCTTACAGATAAATCCCCAACCCCCATAAAACTCAAGGTACTGCAGTTGTTTCAACATGACCTTCTTATTCAGAAGTTCCAAGGGTTCTTGCTAGGGCAGAGAAATTTAGTGACTCTCTTCTAACAGAGGTGGGTGTCAACTATCATATATTACTACCTGATCACTTGTTTGTGATAACAAGGTGGGTGTCAACTATCATATAGTACTACCTGATCACTTGTTTGTGGTAACAACAGGAGGCCCCTTGCTAATCACTAACGTACCATATGGAACAGCTGGGTATACCCTCAGGCAACTCTACAGCCCAGGCTGAGCATCCCTGTCAGGACTAAAATATGGCTCTGACTAAGATACAATAATTCAAAGAAGATTATTCAAAACAGTACTGGCAATGATGGGCTCAATACATCCCTACCAAGCTTTAATAATTCCCTACTTAACTCATTTGCTGATGATGTGCACAGCATTTGCTTAGGCCAGTGGTGGCAAACCTGCGGCACATGTGCCACAGCTGGCTGTTTGCTATCATTAAAAGCTGTAAAAGGTTCATCATCACTAGTTCAGGCAACTTACAAAACGCAAGATAAAAGGCCTAAGTTATCGCCATTTTACAGAGAAAGGAGAAGTTCAGAGGTTAGATAACTTAGTTGAACCTAGCTCTAGGTATGTTACATACGCAAGGTGATGTTACTGAAACCCAGACAGCCTGGTAACCCTTTTAGATATGACCCTCTTGTGAAGGCCTATCTATAATAACCTGTCCCACTCACTCCTTCGGCAAAATTATGAGATCCATTCTATGATTTTACAGAATTCTCCCTTTTCTCTAACAGTGAATGTTGTGGGGTCTCCTTATGTTCCAGGAACCCTGGCACACGTTTCTCTTCCTAACCTCACTTGGAGGACAATGCCCAAGATCTTTCCTGCTATGAGGGAAAGGCTACAGAAATCCATGCTCCTAGTACCACAGCCACTAGGTAGGCATGTGTGGCTACTAAGCATTTGGAATCTAGCTGGTGTGATGAGGGAGTTAAATTTTAAAAGGTATTTGAGAAATTTAAACAGACAATTTAAATAGTCACAAATGGCTAGCAGCTACCATATAAGCACATTTGCCTTTCTCCTTTGCCTAAGAGACTTAGAAACACAAGCATCTTGTATTTTTTTCTTCTATCCACCCCATTCCTTTTTAGAAAGTGCAAACAAAGCCAACCTACAGATGGATAACTAGGGAAAAGTAAAGTTCATGGCTATACCACACATAACAGTAGTGAAACAACATATAACAGACTACCCGTTCTTTCCCCCTCTGCTTTTCTAAACAGCTCGGCAGAACATGGCCTCAGGGAAAAAAAAATTACCATCAAGGTAATGGACCTTGGACATTCTACAGTTTCTGCCATACCTTCCTTTAACCACTTAATTCTTTAATACAAGACTTACCCGTTTGTGTTGCCTGGCCAGTTTCTCTTTAGCTTCTTCTAGTTCCTTCTGAATCTTCAGAACATGTTTGTTCATCTTACGAATTGTAGAGTGCAAGATTTCCCATACAAATAATCTTAAAAATAACATGGCATTTGATTATTATATACTAGGCTATGCTTACAAACAATAAAACCTCTCAAATTTTATCACCCATTAGTTCTTTTTTTTTTAATGTTTTTTGGTACCGGGGATCGAACTCTGGTCCTTGCGTTTGCAAAGCAGGCGGCAGAACCACTGAACTAAATCCCCGGCCCCTCACCCATTAGTTCTTAAGGACTCATATAGCCTTCCACCCTTTGTGTGAAATTAGTTGTCTTTCTCCAGCAACACTTCGGATTTGCCTTTTATTACAGACTGTACAAGCACCTACCTCTACCAATTAAACTTTGCTAAGCTCCTGGTAGGCAATATTGCATGCTTTCTATATTTTTCACTTCTATCCTTTAACTAGATATACAAAGGTGCACATATTCACTGAATCCAAGTTGCAAACTATGAAAAATACTAACACAGTAGGAAGAGAAATATATTTTCTGTCCTCTAAACATTAAGCACTGTACTTTGCACTGTACTCTTCTCAAAATGAGACAATCTGAGTATCCCTGCACTCACTTTATACTATACTCTGTTCAGTTCACATTCAGCCAATCTCTTGGGACATTTAAGACACTCATTAGCTGACATTGCTATCAACTGCTAAGCTCTAAGAATGAGACTAATTGTAGGTCAGCTATATTATCAACAAATAGCTCAAAAATGATCATTTTGTAAGTGTTTTAAAATATGGTATAAACAAACTTTCTTATATAATAAAACACGGTTTATTTCAAGTCTAGAATGTCAGAAGAGAGGACAAAAGATCAGAGTACTTTCTTGGACTCTGGCAGGGGTCAGGCAATGCTTTGCAGAATTAGAAATACTTGCACTATTAAAGAAGTTAGAGCTACTGATCATCAAAATTGACTCCAGAATGCCTAGGTTTCAATCCTGACTCTACACTTACTCGGTTTTGTGACTCTGGTTAAGCTACTTAAATAATCAGTGATATTATCGTAATTTGTAAATTGTGAACAATGGTGGAACTTCCTCAATGGTGTTGTAATCATGAAATGAGATGAAAATAATGTAAATCATTCAGCATAATGGCTAACACATACATGGTGGTCAGTATTCTGAGAGCAAATCTAAGAATGACTTTCTGTTGTATTTGTTTGTGAATATCAACTTGGCTGGTATGACCACCTTTAATCACTATCATCCTAAGGACTCAGTATACATCAGGCCAGGGTCCTTTACCAGTTACAGACAAACAGGAGAAGTTAAAGGGTTATGATGCCTTTTGCATCTGTTTGAGAATAATTGCTTTTGTTTCCTCTTTTCTGTCAACTCTTGCTGTCCCAGTCCCATTCATCTGGGAAGCCTGTGCAACCTCACAAATAAAAACCATGAGTAGGTAATATAAATTATTTTGTGAAGTTTGTGTTCTCTAAAATTGGTATAATTGTGGTTTCTTATACATGAACTCCAAATTTTGGTCCAAACCTTGTAAAGTCACGAGATAGTTCTGAAGAGAAGATCCAATTTGCTACTGCACCACAGTCAACAATCTGTGTACGAATCATCTTATCAACTAGTACAGCGATCATCTACAATGAGAGAATTGTTAGAGTAAGATTCAATGTAATCCCGATTGAAATCCCAATAGTATATTTCACAGAACTAGAGAAAACAATCCAAAAATTCACTTAGAATAAGCAAAAGCAATTTTATGCAACAGAGACATGGTAGTGGGTATCACAATTCCCAACTTGAAACTATACCACAAAGCCACTGTGATAAAAACAGCATGGTACTGGCAAAGAAACAGACCCGAGGATCAGTGGATACATTAGAAGATGCGGAAACAACTGCAGACATACTCAGACAACTCATCTTTGACAAAGGAGCTAACCATCCTCACTGGAAGAAACATAGCCTTTTTAATAAATGGTGTTAGAAAACTGGATGTCAACCTGCCAAAAATTAAAACTAGATCCCTATCTTTCACCATGCACTAAACTAAAATCCAAGTGGATTAAAGATCTAAATATTAAAACAGAAACACTAAATTTGCTGGAAGATAAGTTAGGTAGAACTACTGAAGACATTAGCATAAGAAAAGACTATGAACAAATCCTCAGTAGCAGAGTAACTAGCACAAAGAATCAACAACTGGGATCTCATCTTTTTTAAAAAGCTTCTGCACAGCAAGAGAAACCAGTAAGAGCAAAGAGACAACCTACAATGTGGGGAAAAAATTTTACCAGCTGTTCCCCAGACAAAGGTCTACTATCTAGCACATATAAAGAACTAAAAAAGTTGGACCCTCAAATATAAAGATCCAATTAAACAATAGGCATCTGAAATGAACAGACATTTATGAAAGAAGTAAAAGCAGCAAATAAACATGAAAAAATGTTTAACATCACTGGTCATTTCAGAGATGCAGAAGAAACAACACTAGGATTCCACCTCATCCCAGAAAGAATGGCTGCTATCATGAAATCAACCACTAACAAAAGCTGGTGCAGTTGTGAGGAGAAAGATAACCTTTCTTCATTGTTGGTGGGAGTGGAGACTGGTGCAACCGCTGTAGAAATCAATATGGAGATACCTCAAACAACTAGGATTAGAAGTCCCATTTGACCCAGCTATTCCTCTGCTGGGTATCTTACCAAAAAAATTAAAAGAATCATACCACAGCAATACATGCTCACCCATGTTTATAGCGGCAGTTTGTGATACAGCCCAACTGCCCATCAACTGGACACTGGATAAAGAAGATGTGGTTTTTATATAAAATGGAGTACTACTCAGCCATAAAAAATGAAAAAACTAGAGACATTTATAGCTAAGTGGATGCACATTTAGGCCATACTCCTAAGTGAAATAAGCAGGACACACATGTGAAAATACCAAATAGTTTCTCTGGTGTGAAAAACTAAAAGTGAAAATAAGGATCAAAATGTATAACTGATATTGTGAAATAGGAAGAAAATGTCTAAAGGAATAGAGGAAGTGGGAGGGATAGGGGAAAGGAAAGAAGGGAAAGAAAAAATATGAGAAATGGAAAAACGTGGAAACAAAGTTTTTGTAAATAGGGAAGGGTGGAGGTGGTAAAGGGAGGGCAGGGCAATGGCGAAAAAATAAGAACCAAAATACATCATGTAAAGGTACAAGATCCTAATGATGAATGTAACTGTATTGTATACCTAAAATGTACCAATAAACTTAATGGAAAAAATTATTATAGCATATCATAATTATAAAATGTAGCCAAAATAACACACTGCTATAAATGTAAAATAGGAATATAAAATTCATTTGTAGTAGCAATGGAATCAATTTTACCATTAGGTCTTACAATTTATTCTACTCTGCACTGCAGTACTATAAAAAGTACTACAATGACAATAAAGACTGAATGAAAACACACTTTGAATGGTAACCTATAATTAAAAAAAATATTAGATGATAATACTTAGACAAAAGTTTTAGATAATATGTTTCATTTGAATCTCACAAATGAAACATGTAACAATGTTTTATCACAAAAAGTTTAAAATGTCTTATAAAATTTATTTCAATGATTTTTTTAATATACCACATGAAAAAGGTATATATTGAGAAATCTGGAGCTTGTTTGCAGAAACTGGACAGACTACACAACCATTTCCTACCCAACAAATAGCCGTTGCCAAGCAAAAAGCATTTTTACTGAACATTTAAAGTGTGTCAAAAACAAATTCATAGTCCAAAACCAAATTTTAACACTTGCTTTTTAAAAAATGAATCAAACATTCCTACAGGACAAAAATTTACAGGCAGAATCAAAGTTCATGTTTTAAAACTATGGTAATTAATTGCCTTATTTTTATACTCATATAACTAGAGCCTCAACATGTTCAATTAAATAATTTTTACCTGTGGATGGTTCCTCCAGACTTCAAACATAACTCTTAGCACATGTAACTTTCCCTCATCACTTTCTGCTAGAGTTTTGAAGACCTCATGAAACCTTTTGATAATGAAAAAAAAAAAAAAAACCATTCATACTCATTAGGCATTTTAATGTTTTAAAAGCCTTTTCAGTGTTACTCCACTTATAATATCATACATAAATGCAAAATAACCAAATATTAACCATTAAGGATGTAAAAGATATGATTAGTAATTATAGTCTATGAACGATGTCACAAAATCTTCAGAGGATTATGCTTTTGAACCCTGACAAAGTAGATCCAACTTTGGGGTGGCTGTCAAAAGAAGGGATGGCTTTATTATCTGCTTACTCTTTCTAGAAGATGCTTAGGCTAGAAAGTTCTGACTGTATAAACATCCTGAGGACCTAGGTTTCCACTAGTTTCTCTCAATGTTTATATGAAAAAAATGTACCTTCCCATGTACATATGCAAATTGTACCCACAGACCGACAGCCTTACAGCAGGGATCTTAGAAACAAACCAAACACCAGACCAAAACCACTGTATCAAATTCTGTTAACTTTTTTGTATTCAACAATTTTAGATAAAAATTATTGTATCATTGGTATTCATCAGCTTGTACTTACTTTGCAAGAGCACTGAAAGAGTGGCTAAATGATTTGGCTGCCAAGTGTAGCAGAGTCTGTACAAAGACCTCTATTTTCAAAGGGTTAAAACTGAATCCTTCATCTGAAAAATATTTCACAGTAATATTTTTTTTAAAAGTACAGCAATTCCTTGGTAACACACTTAGAATAATGAGCAGATGCTCATATCCAAATGCTAAATCAGGTATTCATATAACATTTTTCAGTACTAATAAACAATAAAAAGAAATAACCTATTTCAAATACTAATGTAAAACTATGTAAAATCTTAGCCAGGTATGGTGGTATACACCTATAATCTCAGTACTGAGGCAGGAGGTTTGCAAATTCAAGTCTTGCCTGGGCAACTCAGTGAGACCCTGTTTCAAAACACAAAACGGTTAGGGATGTAGCTCAATGGTAGAGTACCTCTGGATTCTATCCCCAGTACTGCAAACAAAACAAAATGACACCAGAATACAACACTAGGCATAGTGTTAATTCTTAGGTTTATAAAAATGTTTCCCAATTCTTCTGTCTGATCCACTTCTTTAAAAAGTAGCACATAAACTGCATTATTCATACTCTATCTATATGATTGAAAGATATTTATTAAAAACACAATCTATCTGAACACTTAAACACCTATGTCCTAAGATGTGTGACAATATCTAAATTTAACACCAACACTTTGATTTATGCTACCTGAATTCTGTCAAATGTTATTCCAGCTGTCCAGCAGACTCCTGTTTTGATTTGTCTACACTACTTTTCCTTATCCATTTATTAATTCAAGTAAACTTATGATCAAAGTAAATTTTTGTTTGTATATAAGATGCAGTTTATATTCTTTACGTAAAGCTATTTCATAGGAACTATAGGATATTTTTTAAGTAAGGAGAAAAATACCTCGGTTTTAAGATCAACTGACAAGCTGAAAAGACCAAAACAGCATCCATCTGATTTAAAAGGTACTCAAGTGGCCAGAGTTATGTTTATGCTTTAAGTTGGCTTATATATAGTTCCACTGAAGAAATACTCAGTTCCCTTACCATCATCATCATCCTGGTTAGGATTCGGTACATCTTTCAAAATGCTGAAGATTTCATCATTGGTTGCCTTACTTTTAAAAGCAACAGCTAAACAGAGGGCTACAGAATGTCCAGGAAGTGAATCTAAACACAGAATGGAGGGGAAGGCAGATTAGGCTGAATGACTATTCTTAAGAATACTTACTAAGAAATAAACCAAACACCACACCAAAACAAAATCTTTCCTTTCAAAATGGAATACTCTTTATCTCCAGATCAGTATTAAAACTGTATAACGATACCACATGTGAAAGTTTCATTTAACAGATCAATGGTTTTAAACTTACTTAAATACTAATTCTAATACTTTCTCAAAACATTAAACTAACTGAAATTTGGGGTACAAGGAGTATTATCTTTCTCAGAGGAGCAGTGAGGTGAAAAGTTATACAGTCACAACTGTCCTTTACAACACCTTAACATTTCTGGGCCTCTGTAAGTTCAAAACAGAAGAACCACTGTAATTCAGTTTCCTTTGTGCCAACAGCCCTGTAAGGACCAACTTTGACTGCTATCAACTTGACTGGATTAATGATACTGGTAGGGAGGCAGTTGGATTAAGAGCATACTGATGAATTCAGAACACAATGGACTATTAGGAGATAGGGCCTAGATGAAGGAAGTAGGCCATGGAGGTCTGCCTTTGAACAGTGTCTTTCTTTGGTAGGGCTCTTTTTATCCCTGGATGCCATAAGGTGAGCAGCTTTGTCTTACCACATGTCTTTACCGTAATGTGTTGCCTCACTTAAGGCTCACAGAAATGAAATCAGCTGATAAGGGCTTTAATCTCTGAAATTGTGAGCCAAAATAAATCTTTCTTCCCTTCAAGTTGCCTTCTTAGGTATTTAGTCATGGGGACAGAAATGTGAGTAGTGTAGCCCTTTCCTTGAATAAAGGCTGTCAACTTAAAAGGGCTTTTTATCCCCCCCTGTTCTGTTTTGCTGAGTTCACTCATGCTTGAATCTACATCAGGCAGACTGCTCAGTAATGTGATACCATGTGTTTACTTTTGGTTAACATCTGTTGAGTCTTTACAGAATAAAATTTATGTTAGCATAAAGGCATCACCAGAGCAATAGAAAATCTACTTATAGGGCCGGGGATTTAGCTCAGTGGTTCCGCCACCTGCCTTGCAAGTGCAAGTTCCTGAGTTTGATCCCAAGTACCAAAAATAAATAAAAAATAAGAAAATCAACTTATAACGTAAGGCAGTGAAAGAGGGCAACAAAAAGGCAATTGTGACATAGGGTCAAAGGGTAGGAGTTAAGTACCTGGAATGAATACAGTCAATTACAACAGATCACACAAGGATAGTTATGTAACACCCGAGGGAAAAATTAGTGAAAAACAAAAACAAAAAAACCACACAAGCAAAATAAAATCAGAATCCTTTGTCACCAAGGAATTTACATTTTAACCGAGAAGCCAAGATATTTACTATAAAGGTACTTAGAAAGCAAAAGAAAGTTGGCTTTACATGTTTTGTTTTTGTTTTTTTTTAAAAAATAATGTACAGTATTTAAAGGGGTAAAGCCCAGGCCAGACTCCAGGAAGAAAACAGGAATTGAAGCTGGGAAGGGCTTTCCATATTTGGGTAAAGGCACAAGGCCAGAAGAGCAGAATCGCTCAATGCAAAGAACCTCCATGCAACTCAACACAGAAGTATACATGTAGGGGCTGTGCTCAGAGCAAACTGAAAAACCTACATGTAATCCTGTACAGTGATCACCAATGTACAACCTTCATTAAATGGAAACACTGTACAAAACACAACATGGCATATCAAATTAGAGCCCCTCAGGTTTAGAGTGCAATCTCAGGAGATATGACTGAAAGATAAGAACATATTTACAAATTCGTTTCTAGAGGAAACTGTCATGTGCATCTATGCTCCCAAAATCAAAGCTGAACTGCTATCAGATGGCAATCAATTCAAGTAATCTATATCACTGTAACAAATATACATTTTCAGTTGAGTACATTTTGACTATAAATTCATTTTGCTACACTTGACACCATACTTAAAATGATGTCATGGATATAACACTGTGAACAGCATTTAAAAAAATATAAGCCAAGGATAATCAGATCACAAAATCCTTCAAATATTGACAAGGCAATAAATAGTGGCTAGTGACAGATTGCCTTTCAGAGAAACTATAAACTCCAAGAAAAAGAGAAGTTTGATTTCCCCACCTTTAAACAACTGACTTCAGAGTACACTTGCAGTGGTATGTTTTAAAGACAGAGAAATTTGTCTTATTTTATTACTTACTACTACTTTCATCTCCATATTTGTAAATGCAGGTTGGATTTGCAGGACATAGAGTTGAGAAGGTTGGAGGAACAATATCTAATATACGTTGATGGTAAGACAACCTACAATACAAAAAAAGCCTTAGATAATCTTGCATCACTTTCTTTTGGTAACATCCAACTTATCAGGAAAGTCACAATTGCTAAATCTCTTAACTTAGCTGAAAACTAAGAAGTTATGTGAAGGGAAAAAAAGTCCTTAGGCTTTTGTGTAAGGCAGCATACTAAAACTCAGGCCTGCTTAAAAACTTACTGGTTTGCACTGAGGTGTGGGCTAGAAGGCTCACAAGCCTGGTGGCCAGGGATGTGGGGAGGTATGGCGTAGAATGGAGGAGACAGTCTGCACAGTTGGGAGATTAGTTACATTGCATAATAAATATGGAGGATAACAGGAGCCATTATTATTCTTACTACTTGAGAAGGCATTTACGAAGCATGGCATAGAGAAAGACTAGAAAAAATGGTGGGCTGGAAATGAAGAGATGGAAACACGGAGTTGATAAATATTTATAGACACATATGTATGTATGTGTATATATGTCTAATGAGACAGCCTGTAACCAATGACAACCCAATAACAATGAGCACACCAAGGACCCCATGTTCCTAAATACAGTCTTTTACTTTTAAAAACTAAGATGCTTTGAATAGATGATTCCAGGGGACATACAAGGAAACACCATATGTACTTGGAAAATCTTTTTTTGCAGGGGTACTAGCGATTGAACTCAGGACTGAGGCAGGCAGCAGCACCACTAAGCTAAATCCCTGGCCCATGTACCTGGAAAATCTTATACCAGAAAATTGGGAAATGTTCAATGAATGTTGGGGGATATATTAAAAAAGGACAACAAAAAGCTTGCAGGGGCTCCCCATGGGACAATTTGGGCACTGAAATAATGATAGTTATGATTTATAACACAATGACTGAAAAAATGCATCAGTCCCTACAGACAAATAAAGGAATAAATAAATGGGAAGAGAGGACAGCTCTTTCTTAAAGTAGAATGTCAACTAATAAAAGTAGAAAAAAATAATGGGAGCCAGGGATTTAGCTCAGTGGTTCCGCCGCCTCCCTTGCAAGTTCAAGATCCTGAGTTCAATCCCCGCTATCAAAAAAAAAAAAAAAAAAAAAAAAAAAACCAAAAAACCAAACCAAAACCAAAACCAAAACAAAAAACAAAAAAAACCCACAGAAACAGAATCATTACTTGGGAATCATCACAGTGGAAGCGGATGATATAAACAATTTTTAGTGCAGAAATTAGCTATGATGAAGACTAAGAGTGCAGGCTCAGATATCTCCTGTAAAACATTAATGACAAAGAGAAAACTGATGCGGTTAAGATGGAGAAATGTGGAACACACACACACACCAGGTCACCAAGATTAGTATCACCACTGCTGGGATTCATATGCTTCTTGATGTGATACACAAGTCAGGTCAGGAGGAAATATCAGAACAATCCAAAAAGGTCTACTCTCACTTTTAGAAACTGAAAAGCACGAAAGATAGAAAAAGAATAGTAACTGTTCAAGACTGAAGGAAACTGAGGAGGACGACAACATTACACTTCTTCCCAGACAGGATTCTGGGCCAGAAATGGGAAAAAGATATTGTTGGGGATGAGAAAAGATACTGTTGGCAACATTCTGGCAGCATCTGGGTACTGTATGGTAGCAGAGCTGATCTCCTCATCTGGAAAATTACATGCTCAACATGTAGGAGTGGCTTTCTTTGGGAGAAATGTATCATGAAGCATTGAAAGATGATGGATCATTATGTCTGCAGCTGGTTTTCAAAGGGTTATAATGTATACAGAGAGAGGAGATAAAGGCATGAGCACTACAGAAAACATGATAAAATGCTAGTAGGAATCTAGGCGATCAAAATACATTTATTTGTACTATTTTGGCAATTTAAAAATTGAGATCAATTTATACTATAGGAGACTTAAACTAAGGCAAAACCACAAAGAACTTACCTCATACATTTTTCTAAAACTTCTCTTACAAACTTTGGCTTGGGGCTTTCAGGATCTTGAGCCAGACAATCTGACCTGATGAAGAAAGGTCATTTTGCAAGTTCTTGCACATAATCTGCACTTATACCTAATATGCATTAACTAATAGTTTGCTTCTATTATTTCACTTATACATAGTAAAGTATTATCAAAGACACTAAATATTTTAGCCAATAAAAATTAGTTTGAGGTTATAGCTTTAACACATTCATGATGGGCATATAATTTGAAAGTCTAGTTGCCAACAGTTCTGATTTTATTATTAAAAAGACCAATAAAAGTGATTAGATCCATTCATACCACCAGTGCTACAAGCCACCCAATGGGGCAGTCAAGTAGGTACCACCAATGGTTCAAGCTGGTGGGAATGTGTTAAGTATTTTAACTATAGAAAAAAGAAGAAAACACACCACACTTACCAATCTTCCCAGCTCCAACGGAACTGAAAGTTACTTAGATGATGAGAAAACCAATTAATAAACCTACAAATGGGACAGGGTGGGTAGAAAGGAAAGAGTGGTTTCAATTTAGATAGGAATTTATATAACCTTTTAAACCGATAAATCCACTTTTATAATGAAAAACTCTCCCTCTTGCAGCTATACAGCTGTATTTTCGGCAACTTACTTTTCTATTTCACTTCTAAATAGTGTTACCTTTTCATTCTTTTTTTTTCTCTTTGTGGTGCTACGCTTTAATCCTGCCTCCCCCCACATAAGGCAAGTGCTCTACTGCTGAGCTACAGCCCCAATCAAAGTTTTACTTATTTATTTATTTATTTATTTATTTGGTACCAGGGATCAAACCTAGGACCTTGTGTTTGCAAGGCAGACAGCAGCAGCACCACTGAGCTAAATCCCCAGCCCAACTTTTTAATTTTTATATAATTTAATTCTGACAATTTCCAAGCAGTGTATTATTTTCCTCACAAACTGATGACATGGAAGAAAAAAAAAAGGAAAAATAAATTACAGATAAAAATTTACAAATGGCAGAGTTGGGAGTACAGTCCTTTCACTATGCCATGCCCTTTCCACCACTAATAGAACATACTATTGATGTCCTCCTTCCCTGTAAAAATACACCTATCTCTCTTAGATACATTTTAGTATACTATGCAATGCTGTGAACTTTATAAGAGCCCCCAAAACATGTGCTAAATGAATGGCACAGTGGAGACACACAATACAATGTATATTTTATTAAAGTGTGTGTGTGTGTGTGTGGAATAAGAGAAGATACTTTCTTAGAGTTTGCCCCTCACAAATCTGTAACTCCAGTCACTGGAATTAGTAAGGGTCAGTGCCAGAGAATAAGTCTTACTAATAATTTTCATATGGAATTTGAGCAATGGACCCAAAAGGTGGAAATTGGAGAAATGTTTAATTCTTGCCTTGATATGATTTGAGAAACTGACAGGAGTAAGAAAGAATACCAGCTTAAACAGGTGACACCTCTCAAAATAGTGAGCATGAAATCACTGCAGCTAAAAAAAATCCAAAATAGGCTTTTAAATATATAAATTCTCAGAGCAATAAGTTTGAAAAGACTGCTATGCAATTAGTTTAGAAGTAGATACTATCTATACACAAAAAATTTATATGTAAGACACAGTACTAGACTCTCCTACACAGAAGTTAGAAAAAATCCTAACTTAAAACATTACAAATGCAATTAAAGAGAGAAAAGGTAAACTAAATTTATGTAACAAACATCTAAACAATAAAGGAACTTCAAACCATAGCATGGGGATCATTTCATATTGAATCTTAGACTAGAAAATGTAATGTTATAGTAGAACAAATCTGAATTTTATTATTATAAGATTATTTTGGGAAATCAGGAAAGAAAACTCAATTTGGATTTTTTTGTTTTTGTTTTTTGAGACAGGGTCTCGCTATGTAGCTCTGGCTGGTCTCTAACCTATGGCAATCCTCCTGCCTCAGCCTCCTGAAGGCTGGGATTACAGGTATGTGCTATCAGGCCCAGCTTGGAAATTCTTAAAAAGGCAAATATCTTGATTAAATTCTTTTATAGAAACCTGGAATTGAAATACCTGGAAAACAAACTTGGTGAAGAAAAAACAAGTAGACCTCCAGGGAACAGGAGGGAGTTGATAAGAAAACTATAAACTACACAAAAGCTGAAGAAAAAGTGTAACATAGGGAAGAGAACAACAGTCCAGAGAGCTAACTCTGACTCCTGTGGAGGGAAAACTTGCTAGCAATTACACTAAGTCCAGAGAGGGTCATCAGCTCCAGGGAGAATAGATCAGGTTGGTAGCTCTAGCCTCAAGAAAATCCCAGTTGTTGTAAACTGCAGAATCAGTATGGGGTTTACTTTCATATGGAAGCCTAGAGGTGGAGAAGAAATCCAACACAACACCTACTATTTGAGAGGGTTTAATCAGGAGCCATTTTGGCAAAGGGCTAATTAAAACTGAGGTGCAGAACAAGTACAACTTCAATTCAAGGTTTTGGGATCACTACACCACAGTGACTGAGTGGGATGGCCACAGGAGATAGCTATGGAGAGGGAGTGAGGCGGACACAGACCCCTAAAAAGGTTATGCTCAAATCAGGAAAGACATGGTGGGGTGGGAGGGCGTGTTCCTGCCCTTCAACTTGAGAGGCCAGGCCGATTGTACATGACTTTGAGAGGGGGCTGGGCAGGAAAGTGCTGGCATTAAGAGGAGTAGAGTGCTTGATAGCCCCCACTTTGCTCTGCTGCTTACATCCAACATAGAGCTCAAGGGTCAGTTTGATTTCCCCATCTGCCAGTATGATTAAGGATATATCTCAGCTTGGAGGTTCCCACAGACTGGGATCTAAGGACAGAGGGGCCTTTGGAACAGGGGGGATGCCTCACAAACCCACAGGCTATAAAGCTTGGTGGAAGCCATGACCTGGGGTGCACAGAGGGACACGGAAACCAGTAATACCTAGAATGCATATAGCATTCATTCAAAAACATGAAGGAATTTTGGGGACTCATTTTTCTTAATTGGTGGTTTCTCGGGGGGGGGGTTGGTTCTTTTTCTTTTCTCTTTCATTTTGCTGTGTTTTTTTTAAATTTTGTTTGTTGTTTTGTTACTTTTATCTAATTTTATTAATTTTCTTTTATTCCTTAGTATGATTTTTTTACTCCATTTTTCTCTCATCTTGTCTATATTTTTCAAATTTTAATTTCCTCTTCCCCACCCCTTTTATCTTTACTAGTATTACTATTAAGCTTTGTTAATTTTTAGATATTTGGCTGACTCTATCATTTTGAATTCTATTGTTAAAGGTGGTATAGTTGATATATTTAGTAGATGTCTGCCATTTGTATTTGTTTTTGTTTCTGAAACAATAGATATCTTTTCTATTGTTAAGAGTTGTTCAGAGATAGCTTTTATTTGTTCTTATGGTATGTTAATATGCAGTTTGCCTTTGACACTACTATTCTACTATTGCTGCTAACGTTACTGCTATTGCCAGGATGGCACAGCTGTTGTCATTAATTATTTTTTGCTGTATGTCAATATCTGGTTTAATCTTGTGTCAGCAACAATAGTGTAGTTCATTTCTGGAGAACTGGATGCTGGGCCAATTACTGTGCACCCTCTCCTCCTCAAATTAATGGAAGTGATCAGATCTTAGGACAGACAAAAAGACCTACAGATATCCAAGGCTAGAGTGCATCACTGGAAAGCAAACACTGACTAAAGAGATCTCCATGATAGCCAACGAAGTCTTTCTACTATAATTCACCTAAAACCCTCAGCACAGAACAAAAACAAAAACAACCAATAAATATGAGAAACAAGGTGGCAAAAGGCCTCTAAAAACAAAAGCTGGTCCATGGGGCATCAATGGGGATGAAATCAAAAGCTAAACAACAGAATTATATGGAATGACAAGAGGAGATAAAACCAGATCAATAAGATTCTTGGTGAGATCAAAGATGATATAACTAAATAGATGATGGACTTAATACAACTGATCAAAGAGTTTAAGATGCTAACAAAAAGCTAGATGAACAAAATACAACAAAACATAAATAATCAGTTTAGCAAAGAATTAAAGAGTTCATAAAAGTTACTTACTAAAAAAGAATCCAGGAGGGAAAACATCCTATTGAAAGAATGAGCAACAGAAGTGGCCAATGTGAGAAAAGATTTACCAGAACTACAAGACAGGGCTGATGTACATGAAAATGGATACAACAGGTGCTACGCAATGTAAAGACTATTCTAAGATTAACGGGAACTAGTGAAAAATCAGAAGACAGCAAAAATGGCATAAAAAGCTGTTTACATTATTAGTAGAAAACTTCCCAAACACATGTTAAAAATTCAACCTATGGAAAAGCAAGGCGTATAGAGAACCCCAGTCACAATCAGAAAAGAATTTCTCTGGTCTGGGATTAAACTCAGTGGTGCTGCCACCTGTCTCACAAGTGGAAGGTCCTGAGTTTGACCCACAGTACCCTCCCCACCCCAAAAGAACTTCTCCATGACACATCATCCAAGACGAGGAAAGATTCTTAAAAAGGTGTTAGAGAAAAGTAAGGTATCACTTAAAAAAGTAAAACCCATTAGAATTATAGCAGACTTCTCAACAAAAGCCTTAACAGCAAGGAGTGCTTGGAGTGAAGTGCTGCAAGCACTAAAAAAAAAAAAAATCAACTTCCAACCCACATTAATATATACTGCAAAACTATCTGTCAAAATGGATATAGAAATAAGGTCTTCCATTGACAAACAGCACCTTGAGAAATTCAGGACCACCAAACTGGAATTCAAAACAAAATTCTCAAAGAAATTCTACAAGGAGACAATGAAGGCAACAATGCCAAAAAGTCAAATGGAATGAATACATCAGGTAAGGTAAGCAGTTAAGCAGGGAGTAGGGAAGTGTCAGCAACAGGAAAATAGTGCAACCACAGGAATAAATCATTACTTTTCCATAATAATGCTCAATGTAAATATTCTTAACTCTCCAATTAAAAGACAGATTGGCAGACTGGATAAAAAAACAAAGCCCAATGGTATGATGTATACAAGAAACACTTAATTCAAAAAGAAATTAATAGATTAAATATCAAAGAATAAAAAATAGTATTCCACACAACAGGACCCTGAAAACAAGCAGGAGTAGCTATCCTATTTTCAGACAAAGTATACTGCAAGCCAAAACTTATCAAAAGAGGTAAAGGTCACTACATATTGGTTAAGGGAACAACTCAACAGAAAGAAATAACAATTATAAACACATATGCACAGAATACCAGCATGTCCAACTTCATAAAACAAACACTAATGAACATAAAAAGATCAGATAAACATCAACTCAACTACAGTGGGGGACCTCAGTACCCCACTATCACAAATACATCAACTAAACAAAAAAAAAAAATCAATGTTGAAATTTCAGAGTTGAACCATACCTTCAAACAAATAAGACTTACTATATATCTAGTGTTCCACTCAGTCAGTTAGCAGCACAAGAAACTTTCTCCAAATTAGAACACATACTGTCCCATAAAGCATGTTCAAATAATATAAAAGTTAAAATTATCACACATGTATTATTAGACCACAGTGCAATGAAACTAGAAATCAATTACAAAAGAAACCACAGAAGTTATGAAAACACATGGATTCAACAATACACTCAAGTAATCAATAGGTCACAGAAAAAAAAAAAAATCAAAAGAAGAAATTAGTTCCTAGAATCAAATGATAATGCCAGTACAATAAATCAGAACCTATGGGGAACAAAAGCATTTCTAAGAGGGACGTTTATAGCTGTGAATGCCCATATCAGCAAAACAGAGACAGCTCAAATAACCTAATGAAAGAACAATTCAAATCCAAAGCTAGTATAAATTATAAAGATCAGAGAATAAATGAATAAAATTGTCTAAAACAATATAAAGAATCAATGAGTCAAAGAGCTAGCTTTCCCAAAGAATTTTTTAAAAAGGAAATAAACCTTATCAATGCAATTAGAAATGAAAAAGGTGAAATCCCAATGGACACTGCTGAAATTCAGAAGATTACATTAGTAACTACTTTTAAAACTTGTACTCCAAGAAATTGGAGAATCCAAGAAAAATAGACAGGTCCCTAGATATACTCAAGGTCTTTAATGAAACTGAAAGGGAAGCAGTACTGCCAAACTCATTCCTCAAAGGCAGCATTACACTGATTCCAAAAGCAGACAAGAATTCAAATGAAAAAGAAAATTGCAGGCCAAGCCAGGAGTGGTGACACATGCCTGTAATCCCAGTACTCAGGAGGCTGAGGAAGAAGGATTGCTTCAAGTTTGAGGCCAGATTAGGCTACATACTGAGTTCAAAGCTAGCCGGAACTATATAGCAAGACCTTGTCTCAAAAAACTAAACTAAATAAAACAAGAATGGAAATTACAGGCCAATCTGTCTCTCTCTCTCTTTTTTTCTTTTCTTTTTTTTTTTTCTTTTTGGTGATACTGGGGATTGAACCCAGACCCTCGTGCTTGCAAGGCAGGCAGCAGAACCACTGAACCAAATCCCTGGCTCCACAGGCCAATCTCTTTAATAAACATAGATGCAAAAATCCTTAACAAGACACTGGCAAACAGAAAGCAACAAACCATTAGAAGGATCACACAACGTGACCAAGTAGGCTTCATCTCGGAGATGCAAGGGTGGTTTAACATCAATAGATGTGATATATTACAGTGATATATATTTATGTAAGTAGAAGAATAAAAATCAGATGACCACCTGGACACAGAAAAAGCCTTGAAAAATCTAACATCTGTTAATGATAAAAACCCTAAAATAAATAGGTGCAAAATGACCTTATCTCAATCTGATAAAGGCCATTTATGAGAAATCAAGGCCAATATTATATTAATGTTGAAAACTGAAGCTGAATGCTTTCCATCTAAAATCAGGAACAAGACAAAGATGTCCACTATCACCACTCTAGTTCAATATAGTACCTGGAACATTAGCCAGAGCAATTGTGCAAGAGAAAGAAATAAAAGGAATATATATATATATAGGAAAGGAAGAAGTAGAATTATCAGCATTTGCAGATGTCATGATCCTTTATATAGAAGACCCAAAAACTTCCACCAAAACTCCTAGAATTAATAACCAAATTCAGTAATGCAGGATACAAAATCAACACAGAAAAAGCAATACTGCAGCATTCCTGTACAATAATGAATCCACCAAGAGGGAAATTAGGAAAACACTACCATTCACAGTATATTCAAGAAGAATAAAATGTTGAGGATTAAACCTAAAAAGGAAATGAAACACATCTCTAATGAAAAACCTACAGTACTCTGAAAAAGGAGATCAAAGACATCAGAAAAATATAGATAATCCTTATTCCTGGATAGGCAGAAACAGTATTGTCAAAATGGCCATACTTTCAAAACTAATACACAAATTTAATGCAATCCTAATCAAAATACCGACAGCATTCCTCACAGAACTATATGAAATAATCCTAAAATTTATATGGAACCAGAAGAGACACAGAATAGTAAAAGGAATCCTGGGCATTAAGAGCAAAGATAGAGGCATCACAATCCCAGATTTCAGGTTATATCACAAAGCTACAGTGACAAAAACAATATGGTACTAGCACAAAAAAGTTATGTAGATCAGTGGAACACAACAGAGGATGTAAAAACAACCCCAGGCAATTCAGTCATCTGTCCTTGACAACAGGATAAGAAACATACACTGCAAGAAAGATAGCCTCTTTAAAAGTGGTATGAAGAAAATCTGTTATCCACACACAGAAGATTGAATCTAGACCCACATCTCTTACTATGTACTCATCTAAAATCAAAATGGATCAAAGAGCTAAATACTAAAAAGGAAACAACCTGCTGGAAGATAAAATACGCAAAATTCTTGAATACACAGGCCTAAGCAAGGGCTTTCTGAACAGAACCCCAACTGCCCAAGAAATATCAACAAATGGAATTATATTGAATTTAAAAGCTTCTGCACAGCCAAGTAAACAACCAAAAGAGCAGAGACAACCTACACAATGGCAAAGAACTAGCAACAGAACTAGCAGTTCTCTAGTCCTTAGAGAACCGATATCTAGAATACATAAAGAACTCAAAGAAATTAGACCTCCCCAAAATAAAATAGGCAATCAAACACTGGGCAAATGAAATAGAAACTTCTTAAAAGCGTAAGTGGCAGGCCAGGGATTTAGCTCAGTGGTTTGGTGGCCTGACTTGCAAGCGCAAGGACCCGAGTTCAATCCCTGGTACCAAAGAAAAAAAAAAAGTAAGTGGCCAATAAATGAAAAAATGTTAACATCTCTGGCCATTAGATAATGCAAATTTAAAAAATGCTGAAATTCCACCTTACTCCAAACACAATGGCTATCATCAAGAAACCAAATAATAACAAATGCTGGGGAGGCTAAGCGGGGAATATCTACATTGTTGGTGGGAATATAAACTAGTACAGCCATTATGGAAAAAGTATGGAGACGCCTCAAAACACTAAAGCTAGAAATTATATTCAACGCAGGTATTCCCCTTCTAGTTAGCTTCCCAAAAGACTTAAAAAACACATCACAATGATACATACATATCTGTATTTATAGCAGCACAACACATAATAGCTAAATCCTGGAAGAGGCCCATATGTGCACCAACAGATTTAAAAAACACATTACAATGATACATGCATATCTGTATTTATAGCAGCACAACACATAATAGCTAAATCCTGGAAAAGGCCCATATGTCCACCAACAGATGAATGGATAAAGAAAATGTGGCATTTATACACAATGAAGTACTCTGTCATAAAGATAAAATCAAGTCATCTGTAGGAAAATGGATGCACCTTGAGACCATAATGTTAAGTGAAATAAAGTGGACATACAAACTTCAGTATCATGTTTTCTCTTTTATGAGAAACTCAAAACATAAAATAAAGAGCAAAATAAAAGGTAGATGACACGAAATAAGACAGACGCTTTGCAAATGGGAACCAGGCCATAAGATGGCCAGGAGGGGGAAGGAATGGAGAGAAAGTGGATATAAAAATAATTAAGATGATTCATGTACATGAACCAACTCATCATGATCACTGTAATCATCACGTACAAATGTGTACTAATAAAAATTTTAAAAAAATTTAATAAAGTACAGAGTAGAACTAGCTAACACTCAGTATAGAAATGAGCAATTACTTTACCTGTCTACACATGTAGTGTTCATTGTATCCAAACGCATGTACAACATTTCAGTTGCCTGTGCAAGCTGTGAATTTGAAGATAAGGAAAACGATTCTCTACTCTTCTTCAAAATTAAGTTGTGACAGCAAAAAACAATTTCTCTAAAAGATATTTTCTAAAAACATTTTCTCCAAGTCTTTATTACAAATAATAACTTGTGTTTTTTCATGTAATGATTTTTTAAAAAGCTTTAAAGTATCAATGACACAAAATAAATGTGACATGGATACGCGGATGAAATCTAGGTCATGAGTATTTCTATCACCTCCAAAATTTCCCCATGCTCCTTTGTAAATCATTCCCTTCTTTCTCCCTTCCCATCTCCTTCCCAGAATAACTGCTAGCCTATTATTATTATGCATTCTGGAATTTCACTTAAATTATATATTCTATTAGTTCTTATTTGTGTGGTATCTCATTTGACATAAATTATTTTTCAATTTCTTCATGTTGCTACCTGCACTAAAAATTTGCTTCTTTTTACTGCTGAGTAATATTCTGTTCCAATGTTACAATAAAATTTATCTAATCATGTGTTTCTACTGGGCTATTTCAAATAAAGGTTTTATGAATACTAAGGTCAAGTTTTTCCTTCTGAAAACCCAAATCATCTTTGAAGAAGGAAAACAAAGTAAAAATCTTTTTAAAATGCAGAGACCATGAGCAGTGAGGCTGCTCTAAAGGAAAGTTGATGGGAAATTAAGGATATACAAAAAGGAATGGAGATCTCTGAAAGTGGCAGATATGTGGAAACATCTAAATAAACACTATGGCATAAAACATTTTTTTCTGTAAGCTCCAAGAAGTAAGATAAAATTAAAGTTACTTAGCATTGTAATACTAGTACTTAACCAGGAGGAAAAAAAATTAATGAACCTAGATTAAGTTGATGAGTATGCATGCTACAGGACACAGGTATATACTCATCTTGTAGACTAGCGGAGGGGGAAAAATGAAACAAGTACCAAAAGTCTTCAAATAATACAAAAGACAGCATCAAAGAAATATACAACAGGAATGAAAGAGTCCAGTTAAAAGGCAAAAGACCGTCACATTAGATTTTAAGGATATCTGCTGTTTATAAACACAAAAAAATGCAAGAACACAGAAAGATGGGGGAAATGATAAAAATAATTATTTTAATCAAAAGAAGGTTGGTGAAGCATTATTAATTTTTGATAAAATAGACATTTTAAGGCAACGCTATATAAGATAATCAATTCAGAGTAATAAAAGCCTCACTTCACCAAAGATAGAACAATTCTGAACATGAATGTACCCAGTATTAAAAAAATCAAATCAAAGCAAAACTAACAGAACTAGAGATACAGTAGATTAATACTTCCCCTTATAACACAAAGAAGCAGCAAAACTCTCTCACCAATATTAAAGATAGTGAATAAAAATATTAAATTAATGAACTGCTCTAATGGACTTAGAGAGAAGCCTAAAGCCCAAAACAGCAGAATACTCATTCCTTTCATATTCACAGTAAAACTGTATTTTAAAAGCAAGAGAATGATTTTCATACATCAGAATGGTGTGGAGATGAAAACAGAAGGAGCTTGCTGGGGAGGACAAAAGGAGCTGTTAAGATATGGCATGTGTTAAGTTTACAATGGGTGTTTCAGTCTGTCATAATAAATTATAACAGTTCATTGTCACAACAAACCAAATTGTTAAAAGTTAGCTCACACAAATTTAATAATCTTTTAAATCCAGACCAGAGTATAAATTTAAAATCAAAGGAAAGGATACAACTTGGGGTAGAGAGCCAGGTTGAAGTTTGCACAATTCAATGAGAAGTGTTGTGTACATTACATCAATGTGAGGGGGTGCTGGAAGTTGAAACAGCTCTGCAAAGATTACCTGCGAAAGAATCACGAATCAGAACTCAATTTAACTGTTATCTCTGCATGCCTACTACTTGAAAGACCAGGGCATTTATAATGAAAAAGGAATTACAGAACTTTCTGTAACTGCATACCTAATGAATTATTTTCTCTCTACTCAATCAAATAAAATCATATGAGAATAACACTTTTGGGATCCATACTCCCAACAAGCATATGATAATTCCAACTCTGGAACTATCAAATTGACTCAGCAATGCAGTTTACCAAGGGACTCAACAATCCACTAAGAATTTAATTTCTACAATTATTACTAACCTTCAGCAGTCTCTAAGAATGAGAGAGACACCATTTTGACAGTCTTAAGACTTCTATGCCATGTCTCTTGCTCAGAAACTTTTGCTTTTACCCTCCCTTATAATTGGTCAACCTAGAATTCTGAAGTCCTCTGCATTCATTCTTTTTACATTCTCTTCTCAAACTTCTATACTTCAGTCTGATGAAATTCTACACATTTTGCAGATTTAATAATATAATTTAATTCTGTATTTCAACTGATGCATCAATGAGCCTAATTCACAGTATAAGCATACTCTCATGTTTTGTAAAGATAGGACAGATGTAGTACTGTTAAAAAAAGTATTTTTTAAAAAGCACGAAAGTGGGCTGGGGATTTAGCTCAGTGGTTCCGCTGCCTTCCTCGCAAGTGGAAGGTCTCAAGTTTAATCCCCGGTACCAAAAAAAAATAAAAATAAAAAAAAAGAAGAAAGTGCTATATGAATAAAATATGCATTTTAAATAATACATCACACTATGCTCTCTCATGAATACTTTAACAAATAATGCAGTAAACAGACTGACTCCTGTTAAATGGAAACATTTCATTATGACATAATTTCTTCAAGGTCTAATCTATCAAGGTACCACTCTACTAGCATCATCCACTTGTATCAATGTGGGGTCAAAAACTTTTCTATTTTTCCTACTTTTAAACTACTTGGCTCTTTTGATTTCTATATAAGGAATATATAAGGATTCATCCCTACCTTGTGTTACAGGAAATAATATACTGAAGTGAAGCATATGCTAGTAGTAAGAGGCCAGACAAACACAGGTAATATGTTATCTCCTAAAGTAACAGAGTATTTTAAAGTATTTCAATTACATATGCATCTGTTAAGTGGACAATGTAATGACAGGGCTAGAGGTAACTTACATTATCCATAACTATCCATGAATGAAGGCATACTATATAAGTAATTTATAGGCACCTCAAAATTCCATTTGGCTACTGTTCCCAACCTCCTGTTTTCTCTTTACTAACATGGCTAATAGGGCACCAAAAGTGACAGCATTTTCCTCGCTCCTCTGTTAATTTTCAGTGCCTGACAAGCAGCAAGAAAAAAAAAAAAAAAGCAAAGAGTATATTACACTTTAAAGTAACAAAGATTGTGAAATTCAGAAATGCAATACATGGAATGCATACCTCAACTATGTGGTAGTTCAAGGGGATCTTGTTCTTCCCTGGATAGCTCACTAGCTGTGCAGCACTATAAAAGTGAAAAGTTTAATAAGTAAACAAAGATACATGAGAAGTCAAATAATCAGTCTCAAAGGTAGTGTGTTTAGATATAAGGAAAAGAAATCTTTTCTGAAATGTTCTAAATTTTGGTTACTTAACTGTGGCATAAATTATTTTCTCTACCATAAGAAAAAGGAACCTAAGTAATAATACTAAGGAAGCATATTCAGATCTACTAACTTAAGTTTTAAAAGGACATTCCACTCCTAAAATACTGTATTTCCTTTCTACTCTAAAATTAAACCCAAAACTTTCCAAGGTCTAAGAAAATTTATTAAAAATTAACTTTTTTTCTTTCTTTCTTTTTTTGGGTACCGCAGATCAAACTCAGGTCCCTATGCTTGTGAGGCAGGTGCCGAAACCACTGAGCTAAATCCCCAGCCCAAAAGTTAACTTTCAAAGCTTGTATATATAAACTCTAGAAAGCAGAGCAAAACTATTAGTAGTCATTTATTCCCATAATATTCAAACCAAAAATAACTTGCCATTCAAATCTCCCATAATATATGGCAAATATCCATACAAAAAAACCTGACATCACATGCACATTACCATAAAGCACCCAAAAAAGTACTACTTGAGGGTGAAGAGCCTTGAGAGTAAATCAAGTATTTTTAAGTATTAGCAAAGCAGGGAGTCTGGAGGATAGAATGACTCTTTTTTTTTGTACTGGGGATCGAACTCAGGACCTTGTGCTTTCAAGGCAGGAGGTGGCACCACTGAGCTAAAGCCCCAGCCATGCACACTCTTAACATACATTTGCTCTTGCCAAATCATCAAATTGCTTTCTCCCCTCCACAAGCACTATGAAAAGCAACTTACCAGGTCTTCCTTTCCTTCCAGTGTGACTTAATGATGCAGTGGAGGTTCTCTTCTATCACAAACCTTTCCACTGAGTGACTGCCTGGCATCACAGGACCCTGGAAAGAAAGCAGATGTACATATATGGACCTAGGAACCAGGTCACTAATTAAAAAAAAAAATCAGAGTATTTATTGTATTTCAGGCACTATATTGTGTGGTAGAAGTAAAAATTCAACAGTGTCAAAGCTATGTACACCAAAAAATTTCATTGTCATGTTCATATATACACAACAAAATCAGTAAGTCACAGTGTTTCTCTAATGTAGCTGATAACATAGTATTAGAACCCACTTTATACACAACCCCGTGCCTACCTTCAGAGCTAAAATTACTAAGCATTCATCATATGGCAGATACTGTTTTATGTATTTTATGTGTTAATAATTTAATCTTCCTAATACACTATGAATCACTATTCTGCCTTTAGGGAATCTGAGGTACACAGAGGAAAATAATCAAAGATCACACAGACAGTATTTTGCTAAACCAGGATTAAAACACAATCCAATCTGGTTCTTACATACACACTTCTTGACCTATACATTATGCTGTTCCTCTAATCTACTTATGTATGCTAAATATAATTCCTTGCATAGCAACGTAACATCATTTACTAATGTAAAAAGTTAACCTGCATTGCCTTCAACTGGCTTAAACAAAACTGAAAATTAAAAGACATCTCAGACATAAGTAAAAAAAAAAAAAATTAAATCACAGGTACAACACAGCTCCTTTTCCAGAAGCTTTCATTTGGTCACATACCTCAGGATCATCTGTATAATCGAACATTCTAAAGATAACCCTTGGCATCGGGTACACAGAATCTTCAGTGTGGGGAGGTGGTGTAAAAGGAGGCAGATTATGCTGTAGTGCTTCACAGAGGATGCTATCAAAGGCAAGATAAGGTCTGAGGATGTGCCGTTCCTGCCAGCGATCCTTTTTCAATTTCTGGATCTGGGCCCACAGACAATCTAAATACTAAAGACAGGTTAATTTTTAATAATTACTGTAAACAACACTTTGACTAGAAAAAACTACAAATCACTATACTCTACAACATGGGATACACATTTAAACTAACTTACAATTACATATGGTAAAAAAGAATGGTACTAAGTTCTTGTACTGTTTGTTCTGTTTGAGTCAAGATTTAAGTATGTTGTCCAGGTTGGCCTTGAACTCGTAATTCTACTGAGTTACTTCACTGAGTAGCTGGGACTTGGAATATGCCACTGTGTCCATACTTTGTTTTATAAATGTTTGGAGTTTTACCTCTTATTTTTTGGGTTGGGTAGTTAAAAAAAACATGTCAAGACTGTAATAGCTAGAATCTCAGAGAACAAGGGAATGTTTTATGGCTATGAAGAGTTAAATTTCTGACAAGTTATATGGAAATGTAGTTAAGGTGTGTAAATGAATGCCCTGAGTGTGTTACACAGATAAGAATCTACTCATATGTACTGGAATCAATTTACCTCTTCTTGTGGATGTGGTTTATCAGCAGTCCATACTTGTAACATGGGCACATGGGTCTTTTGGCGTCTTCTAAATATAAAAATGAAAATCTATACTAAGGCTTTTAAAATTATGAAAAGATGCTTAGTGGTTAGCATATCAATAAAGTACAAATTGAAGCAATGACTTCTATCAGATCAGCAAGTATCAACACTTTTTCTAACATATAATGTGTTATAGTCAGCAGCCTCTTGTTAGCAAAGGGGTTTACTGGTATAATCTCTTTGTAAGGCAAATTGAATAAATCCATCAAAATGTAAATTGTTTAGAACCTTCAACCCCACAATGCTATTTGTAAGAATTCACATTCTAGCCAGGCGTAGTGGCGCACGCCTATAATCCCAGCACTTGGGAGGCTGAGGCAGGAGAATCACTATGAGTTTGAGACCAGCCTGGGTTACATAGTGAGTTCCAGGTCAGTCTCAACTACATAGTGAGACCCTGTCTCAAAAAACCAGAAAAACAAAACAAAAGAATTCACATTCTGCCATAAATATATTTGCATATGTTCGCAAAAACATAATATTTATAAAAGAATATTCACTACTATATTGGTTTTTTTTTGGTACCAGGGATCGAACTCAGGTCTTTGTGCTTGCAAGGCAGGCAGCAGAACCACTGAGCTAAATCCCCGGCCCTCACTAACATATTCTATATAATAGCAAAAGACTAAAAGTCTACCGACAGGAAACTGATTTGTTGTCAGTTTCCTAAATGTCCACCAACAGGAAAATAGTTAAAAGCAATCATGGTACATTAAAACAGTGAAATACCATACTACTATTAAAAAGAACAAGGTAGAGATACATATTTGTAAACAAATATTCAAATTAGTTTACAGTAAGAAAAAAAAAGTGGCAGTAGATATACTGGGCTACCATTTACATAAAAAGATGGAGATATACATATATACACATAAGATTCTATTTGTAGAGTTCTTTTAACTTGTAACCAACAAAACAAATTTTAACGGTATTCAAAGTACCTATTAACAGGTAGAAAATGATGTAATAAAATCAATCTGCAAAAAATATAAGGAACATATAATCACCATGCTGCTGGATAACTAAGTAGGAGCTTACTACGAGGCATGTTATTAGCATTATATCCAAAAAGATAAACCAAGCATTTATAATAGCTTGAAGGAGGTAGGTAATGGGAAGATCAGACTCTTTCAATTAAAATGTTATGTTTCCTAAGAAATGTGAACTAGATGGAATGCTAGAGGAACACTATTTTGAGAGTTTTATTAGGATTAATTTATATGAAATAAATATAAATGCCAGGGCAGTGTTTCTCCAATTGCAAAATATACTAGTATTACAAATGCTCGGAGCTCATTCCTAAACAATATAATTCCCTTGGTGTAGGAGTGGGGTCTGAGCATTTATACCACAGATAATTCTTATACACACTAATATTTAAAGAACTAGTTATTATACTAAGGGAGTTTTATGCCTTTTAAATATGTATAAAAAGCAGCTTTTTTGCTTATCTTGAGGTTTCAGTGAGTTCTAACAGTAGGAGAATGAGATTACCTAGAGAATACTTTCAGGAACTCCAATGCTTTTTTGAGAATGAAATTCAAATGGTATCACTAACAATAAAATCTAACATTTATTATATCAGTAAGATATCTTTTACCTAAAAAATAAAGAGTAGTATGAGCTGTGCCCTTACTTAAGATAGCTTTCAGTGTTGGCAAAGATGCGGTCCATCTCTGCATCTTTCTTTTCATATAACTCTTTTCCAACCCAGGGCAAAGATGACAAAAATGCATACACGTACCAATCCCGTCGTACCTGAAGAATTTTTAAAAAGGTAAGTTTAAAACATGTGCTATTCAATTTTCATTCATATTTTATTTATTCTTAAATGAAATCTTCTGGAAGCTATTAAATAGAGCTTAAATAAGACATCTGGTTAATTTAGAGCATTTCTAGATGTATTAGTTCTACTTTTACTAGACAGAATCATTTGAATTAACATTCAAATGTCAAAAGAACCCATCAGTAGGCCAGTTGACTTAATTTTAAATATTAATCATTTATAGTAAGATAATGTATTATCTTTTGTTTATTGCTAAAGAGCTACCAGTGAAAAATTCCTGATATAGTACTACTGGACAAGATTCAGCATAAGAAGTGTTCTTACCTGAGGTACATCTTCTTCCTGAGTTACACTTACAAAATTTTCAAACATAGCAACCATTGATGGGGCAGCAATCACATGACAATTCACAAGATCAGATAAAAAACGAACCTGTTGAAGCAAACAATGTCTGCTAGTAAATCAATGTCCTTCTTAATAGTTACAAGATAAGCAATCTGGTAATAGCCTAAACCGTGGTTTGAAAAACTACAGCCCACTGGCTGAATCTAGCCTATTACCTGTTTTTTGCACAGCCTGTGAACCAAAAATGGGTTTAAACTTTTTAATGCCTGAAAAAAAATTTTTTTTTACTCATACAAGAAATTCAAATTTCAGCACCCATCTGTAAACTTTTACTGAAACACAAACATATCCATTGTTATTTATTGATCATGGTGACCTCTGTGTTATAATCGTGGAGGTCAGTTGTGACACAGATCCTTTTGATGGACAGAAACCTACAAATTTATAGGTTTCCATGCTATCCTACATTAAGATCCAGACTGTAAAACAGCCTGGCTACTTCAACCTAAAATTCAGCCTGCTTTAACTGTGAATAATTTTCACTGAACTATAGGACCAAAGTTATGGAACAGATATTTACTGGATGTCCTTTGTGTGTCACTGCTAAGCACTATCAAAGGCCTTTTGTAGAGACTCACAGTCTTCTGGAAAAAACAATCTCAACAAAAAGGCATGACCCTACACTAAAAGGTAAATAAAATGTGCACTAAGAACAATGACAAAGAAAGCAAGAGAAAGCATCATAAAGGAGACAACTGGTTAAGTTGTAAAAGACGAGCAAAGCACTCCTCAAGTGGTGAGCAAGGGGGCATTGTAGGCAAAGGAGTTTAAAAATGGTGTAGTCTGGGATTTGCAAATAGTTATAATGAAGTTGGAGAGCATATGGGAGGCAAGGATAGAAAAAACAGATTGGGGCAACCATGAAGGGCCAGGCTAAACAGTGCAGGTTGTGATTCTATAGCCCAATGGGTGCCCAAAGTTTTCTGATTGCATAGTCACTAAAAAAAATTTTGATCACAAATCTCCAACATATGTACATTTATTTACGATACATACTAGATTATTTCCAACATATATATTATTAGTAAGGCTTAATTTCATTCAGGATAAATAAAAGGTCTAATATTTACTTCCTATAACCCAATTTATCATTTTGTGTACAGGATTTTTCAAATCACCCAACTCTAGAAATCAGAAAGGAACTGAGGTTTTTAACAAAAAACTAATATGAACAGAGCCTGGTCACAGGCCATTCTGATGTCACTACAGAAGGAAAAAATGAAAGGCAGAGAACTGAGATACAAAATTAAATGTCAAAAGGTTGTTAAGAACATAAGAAAAAAGGTATGAACTATACTGGATGCCCAGAGATAAAGAAGGGAGATATTTCAGAGAAATTTAGGAGGTATAACTGGCAGGACTTGGAGACATTTATGGCATAAAGCGCCAAAGGGAAGAAAAAAATTAGTGCTCAAGTTTCTAGATGGGTCTCCCAGTTTAGAGGATAGGATAAATGAGTTGAAGAGGAAAGAAGGAAAAGAAGTATAAATAACACATCAAATTGGGGACTTCCAGGTAAGGTTATGTTAGGGGATTGAAGACAGAATTTGGAATACAGGTCTGGAACTCAGGAAAAAGGCTGATTAACATTGAAAATACAATTATAGATTTGGCAGGCATCATCCAAATAATGTTGGGCTGTGAAGTTATGAGAACGAATGAGGATGCTTCGGAAGAAAATGTTTAAAGGAAAGTGAGTACAGAATCCTTAGAAACACAAACATTTAAAAGACAAAAGAAAATGACCCAGTAAAAAAGAGGCAGAAGATCAGGAGGTAGGAGCAGCAAGGAGTTTTAAAAAAAACGGTTTAACAGAAACCAAAGGATAAAAAAGTAATGTGAAGAATCACATGGTACAGGGAGGTAGACTAGGATTCAAGAGTAGAAACAAGCCACTCACTGGATTGGATAATAGTAACTTACCAAATATACAGCTTCATTATAATTGTTTGCCTTCAAAGATTCCTTAAGTTGACGAATCATAGCTTCTACAAATTCTCCACCGAAGTTGTAATTCCTGGCATTCAGAAGTCCAACTAATGTTGTATAAATTGTCAACTTCTCAGGTAACAGACGTGCACTGATTTGAGAACCCATAAAGCCAACCAAAACAAAATGAAAAACATCCAAAATGGCATTATGTGAAGCTGCTGAATTTTATATAAACATTTTACCGTTCTATTAACTTTGGAACAAGATTACTTTGAAATATGATTTTTTTTAAAACTTCAGAAAAAGTATGTGTTGTCATTGAGAAGTGATACAGATACAATTCCTGCAATTTTTCATTTTGATTCAACTTAGCTAATCAAAGAAGAAAGTAAAACAGTTTAGTTGTGAAGGTATCACACTGAAATAAATATAATGCTATACAGTTTTTCTTCAAGTATGAGTAGCAGGTCCATAAAAATGGTTTCCATAATCAAGTATCTCAGAGGTATTGGATGAAACGTTTCTTTAGTGTAGGCTCAGTAAAGGGAAAATTCCAAGTTCCTAAATTTAGCTAACTAAAACTCAGGGGGTCAAAATTCCACTTTAAGAAATGCTATTCTAGTTTCTTAGAAAAAAATAAAAGAATTAAAACTAGCTTTAACTGAGTTCCTGTCAGTTAAATGAACTCGTAATATGGTACTCTGATAGTTTCAATTTGGTTACATCTCAGCTCCTTATTCCAAGTATGTGAATTTCATTAAAGTTATTTCGAAAGAAGAGAGATTATAATAAACCCCCTTTTAAAAGAAAGCAAATGTTGCTTCCTAATTAAGGCAGGTGTTAGAAAATGCTTCAAAAAGAAAAAGTAAGATTTCATAATTCAGTGAAGAAGGATTGTCTCATCATTTTTTTTTGCTTGTTTTCCTAAGGCACCTTGCAGGGAATCAGGGACAATTCAGGTCTTCAAAAAACACTGGTATTGATAGTCAACCATGCTTCCTGAAGCCCTCCCAAAACCAAAATGAAAAAAGAACACTTGGCTTCCAACAGTGTTTAAGTATAAATATTGCTTAATTTTGTAATAGAGACTTTCAAAGCAGAAGGTATTTTATAAATAACTACAGCAAAATGATCTTTCTTAAGTTTCTTAGTCAAGGATATACTTTCCTAAATATCAACTGGATTTCTTCTAAAACTTGAAAACAAATTAACTGCATTTTACAAGAAGTTAGAATGAAACCTGATAGTTTCACTTTGTATATACATTTTTACTTTTCTTTTCTTCCTTTTTTTTTTTTTT